TCTTCTCCTATTGGCTAAATTCCTTACTTCCTTTAAGTTTTCATGAACACATCGCCTTGTCATGAAGCCTGATCTCTCAATTTACAATCACAACTCACTCCTCTCACTCCAACCTTCCCTTCCCTCTCCCACCACCTTGTTTAAAGTGTATCATATTCGAACACACTCTTACTTATTTATGATGTTTCTTGTTTATTGTCTGTCTCTGCTGCGGTAATGTGAGCCCCACAAGGAGAGGAATTTTATTCTGTTTTGGTCACTAATATATTCTAAGCACTTAAAACAGTGCCTGGCACACAGTAGGTGTTCAATAAATATTTGCTGACTAAATGAATGACAGTAATGTCCCTTAATACTTGTGTTCTCCACACCAGCCATAATTCTCTGTGCTGGGAATGCAAAGATGAAGGAGGCACACCTCCAAGTCTAGCAGGAGGAAGAGATGTGCAAATAAAAGTGCCATAAGATGTTGTAAATGCTAAGGTAGAATACTGACTGCACAGATACCTAAGAGGTCTCAGAACGGCAAGAGACCATTGCGCTTGTGAGGAGTAGTCTGAGAAATTTTCTAAAGGAATTAAAGTTTCAAGCTGAGTATTAAAATTGAGTTTATAGACAGAAAGTCTGGGCAAAGGCACTGGGTGGGAATGGCTGGGCAGGTGTAGAAGCCTGCCCAGCCATTCCCGCCCAGTTGTTAATTTGGCTGAAGTGCAGGTGAGAGAAAATGCTAGAGAGGTCAGCAGGGCCAGGTGATGGAAGGTCTTGAGCACCATTCAGAGGTGTTGGTGATGCGCCAAATTAATTCAATGTGCATTTTTGAAAGCTTTGTGGTGGGGGTGGGTGGAAGGGAGCTAGTCCTGAGGTGGGGGACCAGTAAGGAGACAGGGGAGCAAAGGCTGAGAGCAATGATGAGCATTGAAGGGATACAGGGGAAGCGGTGCAGGGGTCTTGGCTACCAACTAGACGAGGAGTGAATGTGAGTGGGGCCAGGTGGAAAGTGAAAATGTTTTCTTCTCTGTTTCTCAATTCTCACTTCGCCTGATGATAAATCTTGACTGTTCTACCTACAATATTTTTTAACTCTTTCTTCTTCTCTCTAACCTGTTGCCTCTACTTAAATCCACATCTTCATCATCTTTTTCTGGACCACTATGGTAGCTTCCAAACTTGCCTCCCTGATGCTCCTCCATGCCTCATTCCAACAGCCACAGGCTACCAACGTATTCCACCAACACCACAAATTTTATTACATCCTTCTCATGCCTCAACACCTTCAGAAGCTCCATGTAATCTTTTTCTAAAGAGGAAAGTGTAAAACTTTTAGCATAATATACAATTTTCCGAACAATCAGGCCTCAGCCCCATCGGGTTTATATGTCATTACAGCCTGTGTCCACCATTATATGTGCTCTCTTCTCATGTTATAATGCTCCTTCCTCTAAAAGAATCTCATGAGAATGCTTCCCCATCTCTTCTCTACTGTTTCTGCATTTCTCTTTCACTGCAGGGACCCATTTGGATTCTAAAGATATAATGCATAGAAGGTTGAGTGGAAAAGCAACCTCTCATGTTTTACATTCTAAGAGCCTAGAACCCACCCATTTTTTGAAAAGCCTTATCTTCACTTCCTTGTCAGTTTGGATTTTCAATCACTTTTTCCTCTAACATGAAATGTATTATTTATTTTTAGCTCTTAGGAAGGAATAGGTAGTTGATGGAGCTGGGCAGTGGTGGCCTATTCCATGTGCCCTTGAGGAGTCCACAGACATTTGGGGTCTTCAAGACCTGAGGGAATTCAAGGGGCTCAAACTCGGTCTCGGCCTCAGCTCCCATTTACAAAACACCTACTGTGCGGCTGTCTTGGTGCATGCCTTCTCTTTATTCTTCAAGCTGACCTTAAAAGTTGGCCATTATTCACTTTACTTTACAGATAAGAAAATGACAGCTCAGAGGGCTCTGGCAACTTGCCAAAAGTCTAAGGGACAGGATCTAACCTCAAGGCTCCTGATTTTGTGTCCAGTGCTCTTTCCTCCTCACCGAGCCAACCCCTCAGATCCAGCAAGCTGTCTAGTATCTTCTCTTCCACCTTCCCTTGAACCTCACACCCTCATGTCTCCTAGGCTGATTCCAACTGGATCTCACCAGAGGACAGTTTCCTAAAATACGTCACTATCTCTCCCATTCACAAATGCATTTTCCTTTGAGACTCTCTCATTGCACTAGAGGCCTCAAAAAATTAAAATCAAATTTTAACTGATGTGACCATTTCTTGAGGGCTGAAATTAAATATGAAATATCACCATCTCACCTGTTCAGAAACCCATTCTTACTTTGTTTGGCCTGGAACTTTGTAAATACTTGTATTTCTTGAGAATAATCTTACCTGTTCTTAGATTTGTCCATGGACTTTGGTCAAAGGCAATAGAGTTCTAACCAATAATTGTTTTTCTTCTTTTCCAGTAAAACAACCAATAGGCTGAGTTGCAGATAGAGGGTAGGATATTATCCTGAAGTCCTAAATGATAGCCATTTCCTTTAAGCAGGATCAAGGCAAAGTGAGTGATTAAATTCTCCATTCAATACTTTTGGGGCTTAAAAACACAGTTCAATAGAACCTCCTTCCAATGCTATTGCAAGGTAGTTTGGACATTCTTCCTCTTTATCTGACAAGCCAAAGTTGCATGGATTTGAATGTCCTAATCTTTGTCCCCCACCTCTTTCTCTTCTCCATGACGGTAATAATTCTTACCCTCATTGCAGCAAATTCTGTGGAAGCCAGGCCTGGACTCTACCATCTTCAAAGAAAAGAGGGCTTTTATATTAATGGAACATCCAGGCACAGAGGAATTGCAGGAAGACAATTAGGAAATCAAAGAGAAGAAACATGTATTACTGACAGCTTAGAAGGAGACCTTTTGTAGGAGAAGAAGACAAGAAAAGCTCTTGGTAGGAGCCCTTTCGCTAACTGCTCTTTGGCTGGTCTACCCAGGATGGACCAGCCTTTAAAGAAACTGTCAAAAATCAGTCAGATGAAACTTATTACCTTCACGCCACCAAGGTAAGTACGAAGGGCAGGGAACGGAGATATTTCCTGGAGAGGAATGAGGCCAGCACACATACTGATCAAAGGTCCCATTACAAAATATGCCTGCAGAGAGAAGAGGGGCCAAATGAACAGCACTTTTGGAGCACCAAGTCTACTGATGGAGGCACAGGCTCCAGGAGCCCAGGACCTGCCTTCCTAGCATTGGAGGCTGGAGTAACCTGCACGGGGACCAGAATGGGCATCCCACTCTCCAGACGGGTTCAGGATGAGGAACAATATGGGGAGGACAGGAATGCTTAATCCATTCCCAAGCACTGTGCTTTCGTCTACCCAACTTGATCTCTGGCGGTGGCATAGTTAATTGTGTCAATGTACTTATCACACCAATTTTGGTTTACTTTACAGGAACTGAACTTTCACAGAAACTCAGGGTTAGGAGAACACTTGGAGGTTCAACAAGTGCCTTATGTGCCGTAATTAACTAAATAATCGTCAAACCATCGATTAGATCCTGGAACACCTTTACTGTGAAATGTGCAAAATGACTAGTGGATATAAAAGCATCTGTAGAATTGAAGTTCTTAGTCACATGTACCTCACACAAGTACTACCAAGTAATATTTCTCTGTTTGAATACTAATCCGATGATTATTATGAAATATTTGGGCAATATCTAGATCAGGGAATGATGTACACAATAGTGCTTGGTGATGAGAAACTATAAACATAAGTCCCAGCTTTATAGGCCTCTCAGAATCAAATGAAGGGGTTTCAGGCTGGATTCCAAATATCCATATGGCAGGTTCCTCACTACTGGGAACCAAGCATCATTCCCCACCATCTGCTCCCTATTACGTAAGAACTCAGACTGAACAGGTTACTTGCATCAGGACCCTACAAATGCAGATCTACTAGGTAACATACTGGCTTGGGACACCTTGTAGACCTGGCTGCCAGGGGTCAGCACCTGGTTGGTCTGTGTGAGGAAGTGCTCACCTAGTTCCAGATAATGAAGACCTGGCCTACTTTGACCTTACAAGGCAGGATTCCCCCAAATGGGAGGTAGTTCTTGTAACAGATCAAGCCTTGATTGCTGCCTGCCTGGGCTGAAGGAATAGTTACAGGAAGAAGGGTATGGCTTGAAAACTGTCACTGTCTTGGGGCCAGGAAAAGGAGGAGAGAGTTTATAGTGTCCTGTCAACCTCCAACCTCCTGAATAAAGTGATCTGAAAGAAGCGGAGAGAACAAGGAGGGGGAAGTTTTCATCCACAGTCCCCAGTGCTCAGAGGCAATGAGCCAATGCTCCATATTCTTCTTTAATTTTTTTAAAAAGGATCTGGATGCACCAAAGAGTCAACATGTGGGTAGGAGAGGCCATACAAATTTGCTAGAACGGTCTAAACTTAGTGTAGACCTTGGTAAATGTTATGACTCAGCTTCAATTAACATTGTGGGAAACTGGGAACCACCCCAACCCCTCACCTCCCTCCATCCCCCCAGCTCACCATGCACTCAATAGATTCCAGGTTAATCTATGACAATTGTTCATGTCATATGACTAGGTGGTGAATGTGCTGTGACAGATGGCTTTAATCAAAGATGACTACATGTACATGTATCCCATCTCACAGGCTCTTTTACAATGGAGGGGTCTATCTTCCCCCACTCTTGACCTGAGTAGGCCTTTGTAACTGTTTTGCTCAAATGAACATGGCAGAAGTGACTTCTGAGGCTAGGTCATAAAAAGGAACCTGGCATCTAGTCATGCTTGCCCTTGGAACTCAGCCGGGGTGCCGGGAGGAAGCCCGGGCCATATGAAGAGGCCATGTGGAAGTTTTCTGGACAATAGTCCCAGCTCAACTCTCAGCTGAGAGCCAGCATCAACCAGCAGACATAGGTATAAACAGCCCTTCAGGTGATTTCATTTCACAGCCTTTAAGTCTTCCAACTAAACTCTAGACATTGTAGAACAGAGACAAGCCATCCCCAATGTGCTCTGTCTAAATTCCTGACCCACAGAAACCATGAGAAATAATAAATAATTATTATTGTTTTGAGCCATTAAGCTTGGGGCTATTTGTTACACAGCCATAGACAACTAAAATATGTGCTTACCAGAAGGTTCCTTGAGTAAATCTCTTAGGCATTTCTCTTTGTACTGAGCCCACTTCCGAGTTGTCTCCTCAAGGAGAGATCCTGTAACCTGAGCAGAAAAAAACTATGTTGGCCCCCAAGTTAGCTGCGAGCACATATCATGATTCTCAAACTTTTTAACTGAAGTGTCCATGATGACCTACACCAAAAAAAAAAAACCAACAGAATTTCTTCGGCATCTTATGTTCTATTTAAAAGACACATATAGATTTTTTATTTACTCTATAATTTAATCATATTGATTTTAATGCAAATATGAAAGTTTTTTTTTTTACAAAGTCTTCAAGTGAGGTTGACATTTCAAGAGGATGCAATATGCTCGTCCTGAAGTTTCACACCCAAACAGATGACTAGTTGCATGCTTCTAAGACTATGCGAATCTCAAAGAGGAGCGCACATGAAGAGGGCTCAATCATTGGTCAGAGAAGGTCCAGAGGAGTTGCAGGAGCGTGCACCATCCCGCCCAGGTGGCTGTGGGTCAGAGTTGAAGATATTCAGCAAACAGATGTTCTGCTATTGCACTGAGGCTTTGGGAATTTTTTCTTTCTGACATTAACTATTCCATCCCACAGAACATTGGGTATACAGCACATACTTTTTGGGCTTTCCAGATAATTGAGTTGTCTGACAACTTCTAATTATATATCTAATACCACTTTTTTGGCTTTAAAGGGACTTTTTTTTCTTCAATTTACTCCTCTGTATTGAGCACCTATAGTGTGCCAGGCTTTGCATTAGGGAGGAATTGAAGGGGATACAAAAATGAGCAAGACACATTCTCTTCCCTAAAGGACTTTAAATCTGCTAAAAATAAGGCAATTACAATTGACCCTTGAACAGTGTGGGAGTTAGGGATGCTGATATCTTCCCACAGTCAAAAATCCACATATAACTTTTGACTCCCCAAAAACTTAGCTTTCCTCCAGCATATATGAAGGATTGGTTTCAGGACATCCTGCAGATATCAAACTGTGGATGTTCAAGTCCTCTATGTAAAACTGCATAGATCAATGCATGCAGTTGGCACATATGTGGATGCCCAACTATGAATCAAAACAATACAAGTATTTATTGAAAAAAAAAATTTATGTGTAAGTGGACTTACGCAGTTCAAACCCACGTTGTTCAAGGGTCAACTGTATATAGTTGGCTGGTAAACAAAGTCAAGTGACATTCTTACCCTATCATTCTCTGCTTCCAAACAAGTATGGGCACCACTGTCCTCTCAGTCACAAAGTAGAAAACAGGAGTTAACCTCGACTCTTCTCCTTCACCCCCACATCTATCTGAGTGCCAGATTCTGTCCTCCTAAATTTCACTCCTATCCAACTTTGCCTCCCATTTCCTCCACCTCTGGCCTGGTGCCACCAACCCCCTCTATACTGTTTCATAGTGGTAAGTCCACAAGGCAGACTGAGCACAGGGCTCTTCTGCCTAAGCCTTCCCCCCATGGCCTTGTCAACTCAACATTTAATGTCTCAGCCACCCCATCCCAAGTCTCTCAACCTCAGTTGTGCTCGTTCATGACTTCACATCCTTGCTCTTCCCACTGGTACTCCCTTCCACCCCACGTCTTCACCTGGCTCATTCTCTGTTCATATCTTAAGGCTCAAGCCTAATGACCTCTGTCATACTGGACCACTTCTCTCACTGAAATCTTGAGCTAGTAACCCTTCTCCTCAGTGCCCTGTGACACTACACACAACTTATTCGTAAGGTCTATCACATTGTACTATCTTCAGTGGATCACCTGTCCCTCTCCCTCATTACCCTATACCTTCCTTGGGACCTGAGACAGGCCTTTCATCCTAATACTGTCCCCTAGCACAGGGCCAAAGTTATTGTCCGCATTCTCCCTCATTTTCCAGCTAAAAAAAACACAGGCACAGTTGTAGGTGGAGTAGGGGGAAGGGGACATGAACATGAGAGAGGTTAAATATGAGATCTGGGCTAATTTGTCTCTTCTCACAAGGGGTAGCAAACTCAAATACTTTCTTGGGCCAGGTAGTTAAACTGAAAGAATGAAGTAGGACAGGTATAACAACAGAGTGTGGAGGAGCCTATTGTAAATTAGGGAGATGCTCCGCTGAAAGGTATTCACACACACACACACACACACACACACACACACACACACACACACACACACACACACACAAAGGGGGGCAAAAAGCAAAACAAAACAAACAAAATCTATGAGCTTAATGGGTAGTCTGAGTAATTAGTCCAATCTACCCTCCCTCTTCTTTGCCCAGCATGCCCCACTTCCCAATACTATCGCATTCGTGATGGGGTGTGTGAGTATTTCCTCTGCATTTTTTCCCAAAGAATTGCACAGTCAATTTTTTGAAGAAAAATTAGTATGGTCATCATTAGACTAGAGGGTCCCAAACTTTCTCAATTCATGGTGCCTATAGTGTCTCAATAATTATTTCCCAGCAATGCTAAGCCAAAGGAAATATCTAGAATCCCATTTATTAACTAGGTAGGTTCAAACAACTTAATAAATATTTATGTTCTAGCAACTTAGCACCTACAGGAGATTGCACAACTTCTCAAACCTATGACTCATATTGGATGCCACCACCTTCGTTCCCATTGATTTTTGTTTGGTACTTGCTTTTTATCATGACAACTGCAGAAAATCCAGTTTTGCAAAAATATGACATCATTGAAAGAAATGAAGTATGACATAATGTTGAAACTGTGAACTACCTCGAGCTAGTAATTTGCACAGCATCTGGCAGATGTCATGGATTGCTGCTTCCCTAGAAAAATTAAAATATCTTACAGCACCCCTGTGACTTCACAGCAATGTCCTGGGGCACCTTAGCATACCACTTGGGAACCATGGGATTAACCGGTAAATAATAATGATGATAATGATGACAAAATAATTGACGTTTATCCTTTGGTTTCAGTTTCCAATGGGTTTTAAATCTCCATCAATAATATATCTCTCTGAGTTATGGCCCAAGAGGCAAGATGCAAGTTTATTAACACATTAGGATGTTTAAAGAAATAAATATCCTAATGGGACCATAAATGACTCTATTGTTTTTAGAAATTCAACAGATAAGTTGATAAACAAATTACAAGCTTCCAGAATCCTCCAAGTCACAAAAATAAGACCTTTTCTTGGATAAAGTGCTGTGTGTGTTCTTGGGTACCTCACTAAGGCACTTTCCTGGCTGAGGAAGAGACAATAGAATTCATTGTATATGTGAGCTGTCCCTGCACTAACATTCTCCTATCTCCCTGCTCTTTGGCATGACTAATGGCCATGGTCAAAAGCGAAAATTAAAAACAAACTAACTAACTAACTAACTAACTAACTAACTAACTGAGAAATACTGAATTTGGTTAGTCTACGAGAGCCAGACAAACTCAGACTCTTTTTCCAGATACTTGTCCTAAAGACACCAAAAAGTCAGGAGGCAAATCCAAGTCCGAACACAGCCAGATCCAAACACAGTACTGAGGAAAGGAGATACATGAGTGAGTGTTTTCTAACTGAAAATGTCCAGTGCAATCTTGGTTCTTTTTTCCCTTGCTTAGGTAACCAGCATCAATGACTAACTTGGCTGCGAAGGAATTAAGGAAAAGAGGGAAAAAAGCCTCTATTGTCTTGCTTTAAATAAATCTTCTAATGTTATTTGTTACAGAAGGAATACACTTAAGTGTAAATAAAATTAAAATTACAGATAAGTAAAAAGGGGAGAAGATGAAACCACAATCTTATTACTCAAAAATTACCATCTCCTTCCAGACTCTTCTCTCTGTGCACATGTAGCCTTTTTCTTTCTTTCTTTCTTCTTTTTATTTTAAGCAAAATGGAAATCATATTTTCTTAGCCTCTTTTTCACTAGAAAATATATTTCCATTTCAGGAACTATTCTTTTAAAACACCATTTTAACAGCTACATAATTTTCTATGGATGAATGCGATATCATTTATTTTTAAATCCCTTAGTTTGGGAAATTTATGTTGTTTTAGATGTTAGATCATATAAATGACGTCGTAATGAAAATATTTATAAACATTTGAGCACATCTTTATGAGGAGAAATTAATTCTTTAAACTGGAATTTCTAGGTCATAGAATACACATTTTTCGAAGGTTTGATAATGTACTGTCAAACATTTATCCTTGCCAAAAATTTTTTTAATTTAAAAATATATACCTCTTACAGGTTCATCGGCAATGTATGAAGGAGCCAGAAATTCACTTCTCGAACAGCCTTAGAGACTATATATTTTTTAATGCTAAAGCAACTCCTAATTAAATGAATTGGGTGGGGGTCGGGGGCAAGGGGAGTGAGGCAATAGCATTATTTCTCTGCTTGAATTTAGAAACAAAAGTCTCTCTGAGAATTTCTCATTTAGTGAATTTTATGAAGACTTCCTGCCAGAAAACATACCACGGTCATTTATAATCCATGCAGGGAAAGTGTCTATGAGCAAAATTCATCATGAAAGTCTACACAAAACCTTGTAATATAAACATTGGGAGAAAGAATATGGGATTTGAGACAGAACCAAGAGGAGGGTCATCAGGATTATAGAGATACACTGTAGGACAGACAGAGCGAAGAGGTTCTGAAAACAGACTGGGTGGCAGCAGGGAGAGGGCATGCTAACAAGCACATTATTGATTACAAAAATACCAGAACAAAAGGGCCAAGGTGTGGCCTTGCCAGCTTCATAAGCTGGCCTGAGGCACTGCAGATTCTTCTGTTTTAACATATAAATATTCACACGTCAACAGCTTCTAAGGAATGCTGGGGAAGAAAGAATATGGTTCCTCAAATACCCTGCGGAGACACAATGGCTCCACTGCTCACGAGCTACATGATTGCTGGTGATCATTTAACGCTTGTAAATCTTAATTTCTCCACCTGTAAAATGGGTTCAGTAATAATACTTTTCTCAGAGCCTTGTCGTACAGTTTAAGCAAGTTAATTTATGATAAAATGCAAAGTGCTGTGGCAGTGCGTGCGCCTAAAAGACCCTCAGTACATGGTTGTGGATAGAAGGTGAACAAAACGGGACAATTAGCTGACTATATTCAGTTTAAATATGAGATAGAAAATTAAAGAAAGGTGAGAGCCTGTGTCAACATTCCCAGCAATGGGCCTGCCACTAACAGGTTAAGTCCTGGGGTGGGAGGCAGGCCAGAGCCACCTGGCCCTCAGAAATGTACTGGTCACTCATCAGGAGGCTGCCACCATGGCAAGAATTCCCTGAAATCACTGATTGGACTCACATCTACAACCTGCTATGAGGACTCGAAGGCAGCCTCTGAGAGAATTTGGTTGCAGAAAATTTGTTAGGAGTTTTCTGTCTATTTGGTTCCAGGCTAGTGCCAAAGAAAGGTTGATAATGTGAATGCTTATGAAGTCTGGCACCCCAATTCTTAGGCTACAACCAGGGACTAACTCTGCCTGTGGACCAAAGGAAGAAGAGAACATTCTTCAAGGCACTTTCTTTACTCAGATGAATGGAGCTGGGGTTCCTTCACATCATTGCCCAGTATAAAACCTATGGAAACTTGAAAAGGGAAGGAGTAAAGGTAAAAATAAAACAACCTGCCAGATGCCCAACTAAAGAGAATGGTTACATACATTAGAATACACCCTTGAAGCCCTTAAACCTCCTGCTGTGGAGCTACATTTACTGATGTAGAAAAGTGTTCAGCTTCTCCGAGACTCAGTTTATTTATCTGTAAAATGAGATTAACAGGAGAACTCTTCTCACAGGGTTGTTGAGAGCATGAAATGAGATCATTAAATGGCTGTATATATATATAATCTGGAAGCATGAGCCACAAAATGTGAATGAGGGTGATCACTGGGTGGTGGCATTACAATGAGTTTGTATTTATACTTCTTTGGATTTTATAAGTTTACTTATTTAAACAATGAGCATCCTATATTTTTATAATAAGTAGGAAGAAAGAAAGAAAAGAAGGAAGGAAGGAAGGAGAAAGGAAGGAGGTGGGGAGAAAGGAAAGAAAAAAAAAAAGAACTATCCACTCAACCTAAATACTAAACGTGGGAAAATGATAAAAGCAGACAGGAGATATATGTAATGATTTTAAATGCTATTTGCAGAGTTCACGCTGACATGGGAAAATGCTTATAATATGATGTAAAGGGGAAACCAGGATACAAGATGTTTTACGCATCATCATTTCAGCTATATAGAAAAATGCAGAGAAAAAGGATTTGAGAAAAATATGCCAGTATATTAACAGTGATTACTTCTGAATGCCAGGATTATAGATAACCATTACTGACTTAATACTGTTTTAAATTTTCCAAATTGCCTATAAGAAGCCTAAATTGCTTCTATAATCAGAAAATATGTACAACTAAAAATAACGATAATAATAACAATAATAATAATAATAAAACTGTTCTTACTTGCTTGATGGAAACCAGAAGCAGCAGAGCAAGGAAGGGCCTCGCAGGGGACGGGAGAGAGCACTTACTGCGGGAGGGGGAAGGACTGGCCTCCCAGGCAGCAGGGATAAGGGTGGGCAGCGCCTGGACCCCAGGCAACAGCCCCACGTTCCTTCTCCCAGGCCCTGCCCGGCTCGGTTCCAGCCTCATCTTCCTCGCTGTACTTTCACAAGAGCGGGCACATTTGTCTACCAGTCCAAGATGTACCACAGGCAGCCTCCTCTTGCATTCCTCTTATACAGCGAGGAAATGTTTGCACAAATCCTCTCCACACCACGCCAAGAGCGTCTGGACCAGTCTAGACCAATCTACTGAATCTCCAAAGTTTCTCATCAGCAGCGGCTCAGCCCCCACCCTGACCCCCCCCCCAAAGGCAGGGAGATTTTTCCCAGACCTTCCCCAAGTCAGCTGTGTTTCCTGGGATGTCCTCGGCAGAAGCCAAGAAGAAAAAGCAAGGCAGTCAGTAGGTTCCACCCCTGAGGCCCGGCTCAAGACACAAGACCAGGGTGCGGCAGACTCGGGTTCCAGCTGCTGAGGAACAGCTGACTCTAGAGGTTGGGCCTGGAGCCAGTTCTGAGGTGGGTGTCTTCATGAGGTGAGGCATTTCTTCTAAGGCATTAAGATTGTCCACCCAGGCTGAACCCAGCCATCAGGGTTGCCAGGCCTCCTCTGGGCCCTGTTTATGCCAAGACATCAAGAGAAACAGTTGCCCAGCCCAGGAGAGAACAGCTCTTGACCCAGCGTCTGAAGCAAAAGCCCAGTCAGTGACTCGAGCTCTGTCTACATAATAGCAAAACAACATGCAGAAAAGTCAAACATACATTCCTCTTCATTGCCCACTTGTTCTGAACCTGTTGTTCAGCCCACCTGGCAGATTCTTTTATGGAATTCATTATCCGGCACTTACTATCGTATTTGTACTTTCTCACCACAATTCACACTTACAAAAGCTTTTCACTCAACATCCTATTTCATTCATCCTCACAATAATACTGTGAGGGTGTGATTCTTTCTTCACTTGACTGCTGAAAAACCAAGTTCAGAGAGGGTAGGTTGTTTGCCTAAGGCCACACAGCAAGTAAATGACAGAGCCAAGATACTATCCCAGCTCTTCTGATCAGAGTCACTCTACCAGAGGTACTTATAAGGTGCCATATCTTACCCTAACTCTCTAGATGAATTCCTTTTCTCTAGTAGTCTCATTGTTGTGCCTCTGAAAGTCTCTGTTTGGCCCTTCACAGCCCACCTCTCCCTGTCTGGCTTCCAGTACCCACTTTCAGATCTTCCCAGACTCCCGAACTGGAGGCTCAGGTAGAACTTACCCAGATTGGGTGAATGTAGATCAGTAAGGGATAAAAAGAATGTGTTCTCATTTTTTTCCCATTCGAGTTGAACCATAGGAGCTCATCTTGGTTAATTTATCTAACTGAATGAATTCTAAACAGTTTAGAAATCCTTGGAAGTCATAAAAACTTCATGTGGCAAGATTTTGAACCATAGCAGTAAATGCTCGTAATGAACAAAGACCCCACAATGGACTCTTATAAGGATGTGACCTCTACAATCAATGTGGTCATCTCGTTGGGACAGCAGAGAGCAAGATAAAGTGACATAGAGAAACGTGCCCAAGGGATGGGCTTCGATCCTTTTGACACGGCTGTAAAGCTATTCTCTAACAGCACGTTTAATGCTATCTTCCAAGTTGCATGCTGGCAAAGAAAAGCTTGCTTGGTAAGAATAATCTATCTAATCTCTTTGAAGTTCTTCTCAAAAACATCCTTTTTCTGAAGGGACAGGGGTTGGGGCCACACACGACTCCCCTATCTGTTGGATGGATGCCATCTAGTGATAAAACGTGGGAACTCTTTTTCCCAAATGCACACAGCTCATGGGCTGCTGACAGCACTGAACACAGTTCCCTGGCCTTTGCCAGTAGAAAAATACAGACGGAGTGAAATTAATCCAAATGGTACTGCCCTTTTCTCCTACCAGGCTTGTAGATTCTTAGTTATGTCTGGAGGTCTTCAAGAGGTGTCTCATGTGTAATCAAGAACCTATATATTTCAGATGCCAGGTAGAATCTTCTGCTACTCTCTTGCCTTCACTGCTTCATCAGTGTCCTCTGCCCAAGAAGCAATTTAAGTATTTTCCATGTCGCCACTCCTTCAGTGCCGAGGGCTCTGCCTGCTAGCTTTTGAGGCCCCAGGATAATGCTGAATTTTGCGCCCTGCTCTGCTCAGCACTCAGGCCCTGACACAGGCTGCCTGAACCTTGAGTCTCTCAGAGCCCCCAGAACAGGAAGTTGTCCTCGGCAGTCTCTCTCTGTAGGGCTGGGCTGGGAACAGGCCGTGCAGTCCTTGAGATTCCTTGAACCCAATGCTGAGGACCCTGCTCAATACTCAGAGACTCACCTGAACCACCCCTGATCTTCCGTCAGAAACCAACATCCTCCAATCAACAGCCAAAAGATGGAAACAAGCCAAGTGTCCATTAGATGAATGGATAAGCAAAATGTGGTACATCCACACGATGGGATATTATTCAGCCTTTAGAAGGAAGGAAATTTCGACATGTGTAACCACAGATGAACTCTGAGGACATTATGCTAAGTGAAACAAACCAGTCACAAAGAGGCAAATTCCATTTATACCTGTAGGGAATTAAAGTCATAGAAACAGAGAATAGAATGGTGGTTCCTAGGGGCTTAGAGAGGGAAAATGGGGTGTTAGTGTTGAATGGGGACTGTTTCAGTTTTGCAAGGTGAAAAGAGTTCTGGAGGTTGGTTGCACAATGTGAATGCACTTAACCGTTAAGATGGTAAGTTTAATGTTATGTCTATTTCACCATAATTTAAAAATAAAAATAGAAAATCAATGCCCTCTTAAACATCTACATCCTGGGGAAGATTGTGATGAGAGTATGTCTCAGCTCTGTGCTTTCTCAGGCCACAGGTACTTGCATGGACAACACAGGCTGGAGTGCACCAATTCCCCGGGGTGTGGGGTGGGAGGGCTGGTGACAGAGATGGTAAAGATGCCAGATGGCAGGGCTGAGGAGGGTGGGTACCATGACGAGGAAGGGGAGGAGGGGCCGCTGCTCATCCTGACACTGCACACCTCATTCAGCCATGGACAGGGCCCAGCGGCAACGGGCCATGGCCCTCCTCCCGATCTGCCTCGCCCTCGCCTTCTCTCTCACCGCTGTGGGCAGCAGCCACTGGTGTGAGGGGACCCGGAGGGTGGCAAAGCCCCTGTGCCAGGACCACCCAGGAGAACTGCACTGCCTTCTCTTTATCAGGAACAGCAGCAGCAGAAAGAGGGACAACCGGAGCCAGGCTGTCCAGTACATTTGGGAGACGGGGGATGACAAGTTCATCCAGCGCAGGTTTCACGTGGGGCTCTGGCAGTCCTGTGAGGAGAGCCTCAGCAGCACAGGTGAGCATGGCCTGCAGGTTCTGGGGGTGACAGGTGCAGGACGGTAGCCACTAGTAGGAGCTCTGGAGTCAGGCTGCCAGGGTTTGAATCCCAGCTCTGCTACTAACTGCCTTGTTTCCTTGAGCAAGTCCTTTCACCTCTCTGAGCCTCAATTTTCCCATCTATGAAATAGGAACAATAGCAGTACTCTCTCTAGAGTTATTATAAAAATTAAATGACTAGATTCACATAAAGCGCTTGCAACAGTGCCTGACACAGTATCAGTATTTATTAAACATTAGCTTTTACCATTTGTTAGTGTCACCCAATCCCTGGAGAATTAAAGGCGGCCCCGCCCAACTCTAAACTGCATTCCCGAACTTTTAAAGGGTCTTGGAATGAACGGCTCTCTTAGAAAATAGACTTTTAACATTACTAACAGGAAAGGAACCCCTTTACAGAGCACTTACCAGAAGAAAAACCCTTAACAATTAGACCTTTATCTCAGGCAATCCTTGAAATAACCTAGCAAAGTAAATATTTCTTCAGTTTGCAATGAAGAAACTGAGGCTCAGAGAATTTCAAGTCATATAGCTGGCAAGTCCATTCCCTTTCCTACCATTTTACTCAGCCCCAATTCATCGACATCTTTTGAACTTCTATGGGTTTGAGGATGGTAG